TCGAGATTATATTTTTCTCTCAAACTAATGTGATAATTTTTTAGGCTATAATTTGTATTAAACAATTGTAAAAATATCCAAAACTTTATACTATTTCGTTTAAAATAATTCTAACAAAATGCAAGATTATATTTTATATAATATAATTAATTAATTAATATATTTTTGGCCTTTTTATATGAGATCTCTACTAAAAATTTGTGCATATCATCAATTAAAACAAAATTACTATCACAAATGATTACGCTGAAAATTATGTCTTCATCCACAGTGAACTTCAATCCTTCGCTCTCATCAAAGCTACATTTCCTCCAATAAAAAAATATAATTTATCATGACTAATCTTCTGACCCGAAATTGATAGAGCTATTGAGATCCATGTTGATGTTCTTTCATATTCTTTCTTTCCTTCCACTAATTTGACCGTGATAGAGCTGCGTTTAAATAATAAAAAATCACATATTATTGTCGTATGTTTTCAGCAACTATTTTTTTAGAAGTAGAAAATAAAAAACTTACAAATAGAATTGTACAAATATCTATCCAAATAAGATAAACATATCTATCTTAACTAATTAAAAAACTATCTAAACAACTTAAGGAGACATTAATAAAAACAATACATCTAAACAAATTAAAGAACAAATACAATGCAAACTTACCACAAATGAGAAGTTCTATTTATATTCGTACAAAATAAATAGGTAGGTAAATGTGAATGTGAGTGGGTAAATATGAATATGGGTGAGAAAAATTATGACTGTGGAGTAAAAGATTAGATATAATAATTACATCAAATATCAAATGCAAAAAATCAATGACAATCTCCTTAAAAAGAGATCTGGGCTTCCAACCGTGATCCTTCACTATTATATAGTAGAGGAGTTGTGGAGTTAACAAAGCTATAGACTTAAACATTAACCAAATATTATAAGACTTAGTCTCATCTAAAATAAATAATAAATAAATTGGGTGTGTTATTTTATACTGTAGGATTTTACACCAATTTTACTATTTATTTAAAAAAAAATTTTAAAAAAATATCAAATCAAATATCTATTTTTTTATATTATACTAAAAATTAATTTACATTCAAAACAATCAAATTAATATCTATTTATATCACGTGATACAATTATTTTAATTCAAATTTTTTTACTATTTAAATCTCAACTTTAAACTCAAACTCCCGAACAAATACAACGTAAGTATAAATTTGATTCCTGAATTATTATTTATTTTTTAATATTTATTTATTTATTATTTTTCCTTACTAATGTGGTATCGGCTGACCTAATTTATATTGTCACATAAGCATATTGTTGTCATTACTCATTATATTTATATTTTATATGAGACGTGAATTAAAATAATGGTTACGAAAATTTTCTATGATTTAGAGTTATTTAAATCGATAGAAGATTACAAATAGTAAATAAAAAATACATCACATTTTGCTATTTAATTTTGATACTAAGTATTTGGTCAAGGAATAAAAACAAACAACAAATAGTGATGTTTGAAACAATTTACTTTGATGAATTAAGTATACATTTATGGGATTTAATAATATTTTATTTTATTTATTTATTGAATTTAGTTATTTATTTATTCAAAAAGAACCAATTTGCTACAGGATAAAAGGAAGTAATTTTAACATAAAATTAGGGCTGTCAATTCGTGTTTTTGGGTCGTGTTCATGTCGGGTTGAGCCATGGGGATAACAAAAAAACTCTCAACCTGAACCCGACCCGAACCCGAAATCTGACCTGAAACCCTAGACCCGAACACGACACGAATTCTTTCAAGTCGGGTCAGGTTGACGTGAATTAGTTTCAGATCACCCGAAACCCGAACAAATCCGATACGAACCCGACACGAAACAGACTCGAAAATTTTAAAAAAATTAAATTGACCTAAAAAATATCATTTCTATTTTAATTTATATATATATAAATATTATAAATTAAAATAATAAAAATAAAATTTTCAGGTCAACCTGAAACACGAAACCCAAAACCTAACCTGATTTTTATATTTTCAGGTTATCAGGTCAACCCGAAACACGATCCAAACACGACACGAATTTTTTTCGTTTCAGGTTCGGGTCGACCCGATTTTTTTCAAACCCGAAATACCCAAACCCGAACCTGAAAAATTTTAGGTCGAACGGATTCGATTTTTCGGGTCGAGTTTACTTTTGACATCCCTACACAAAATGCAATGAAAAAATAATTGTTATATGGAAATTTTACTTGAGTGTTTTTCTTAAAATGCTCAATCAAACGACGCCTTTTTGGAAGTTTTGAAAAAATTGGAATAGTTTGATTTGATATTTTGCAAATATATATTGATATAAATATTTTTAAAAAAAATTAAAAAATATTTGGGTGTACAAAGTATAAAATTTTCAAAGGAACACTGATTTTTTAGTTCATAACCGAACTTTTTTATCATTTTAGTCTTGTAATTATTAATTGTCTTAAAATAGTACAATAAGTAAAAAGTTTTTGCAATTTAGTCTTCAATATTTACGTGGCACCTGTTTGACATGTAAGTTGTTAACGGACATGTGTCGGCCAAGTCAGCGCCACGTGTCCTCCACATTGATTACTTTTATTTTTATTATATTAAATATAAAAAGTTAATATAAAATATAAAAATAAAATATAAAAATATAAAAATTAAAATTAAAATTAACTTAAAAATTAAAAAATTTAAAAATAAAAAAAAAAAAAAAATTAAAATTATATATATTTGTCAGTAGAGTCCGCGCCACATGACCTTCAATCATTTATATATTAGTATATTTTTTATATTTCATGTTTTATTTTTAATATAACAATATAAATTATTTACGTATCAACTACATGGGCTGACATGACGGATACGTGGATAATTTTAATTTTAATTTTTTAATTTTTTTATATATTTTATTTATTTAATTTAATTTTACATTTACTTTTTAATAAAATAAATAAAAATTATTCACATGGCGAACACGTGTCAGTCATGTGGCGAACACGTGTCAGTCACGTGGCGTTAATCTGACCGACACGTGTCCGTCAGTCTGCCACGCAGATGCCACATAGACATTGGAGATTAAATTGAAAAAAATTTATACTTACGAGACTATTTTAATATACTCTCTAGTTACGAAACTAAAATGATAAAATGATCTAATCATGGTACTAAAAAAATAGTTAATCATATTTAATATAATAATATGCGGAGTCTAATAAAAGATGGAATTTAAGCCATAAACAAACATATATTTGTTAACTTAATATTTTTTAATGAATTTGTTTATGATGAATTGTGTTGTTATATATAAAATCATATTTGTGTTAATTAATTCTGAGAGAATAAAGTGGATGTATTATTTATATTATATTAATGTAAGTCTATTTTTTTATATTTTTTTAACAATATTTATAAAATATTGTACTATTTAAATATACTATGCGCGTAAACTCACATAAGTGAAATAAGTTAAGTTACAGTGAATTTTACTTATTCCTTAAAAGATATACTAATTTTAATTATTGTAATTAAATAATATACTTAATATAATTTTATAATTGTTTTTAAGTTATACTTATTTAAATATACAATGCCCGTGAACCCACATAAGTGAAATAAGTTAAGTTAGACTGAATTTTACTTACTCCTTAAAAGATATACTAATTTTAATTATTGTAATTAAATAATATACTTAATATAATTTTATATAATTGTTTTTAAGTTGTAAGTATAGTAAAAGTGTCTTCGGACTTCTGCTTCAATTCTTAGCACTCCATAATAGTGATTTTATTTAAAGTGGAAATCAAACAGTCATACGTGCATTGTCTTTTTTTAAATTAGACATAAAAAAAAAATATCCGTAATATAAAAATTATTATATTTAATTATTGATTTTTTATGAGTCTATCGAATATATATTATAGATATTTTATGGATAATATATATATATATATTAGTTCCTTCATCTTAGATAATATGGGCATATTACGGAAGATACAAGAATTTATTAAATTATAATTAATACGTAATTAAAAAGTGTATTATAAAAATAATTATTATATACTAAAAATAATTATAAATTAAGAGTAAGATAACCAGTTTAATTAAAATTAATTTTTTTTAAGTTTAAATTTTAAAATATGATTAAAATGTATAATTAATTTTTTTAAAAAGAAAATAATAAATTATGTGGGATGAACGACAAATAAAAAATAGAGACAAACTATGTGAGACGGAGGGAGTATATTTTTTTATACTATTCATTAAAAATTGTGTGAACAAAAATACGTTGGATGAAGACCCTCATTGATTCAATTGTGATTTTTAGTATATTTGATTATTCTTCACTATTTTGTTCGAATTTAGTTAATAAATAATTTTGATATATAATTATCAAATTCAGATAAAATTAAACTTCACTAACCTAAAAACTTTTCATTATTGTGTTTGTTTGAGGGTTCCAATTTTGAGGTGAATTTGAATAGTAAATTTTTTGAATTTGAATAATTGTATTATGTGATATAAATAAGCGTTTGATGTAATGTTTTAAATGTAAAATTTATTTTTAGTATAATATAAAAAATAAAAAATAAGTATTTTATTTGATGATTTGGGAGAATTTTTTTTTTTTTTAAAATCCTTCAAAATCTTCTAAACAAACACACAGGTAGCTTATTCAAACCCATTTCTTTGCTTTATCAGCCAAGCTTATATTGAATTTAAAGATTAAATTGAAAACCAACAACAACAACAATAATAATAATAATAATAATAATAATAAAATATAGAATCCATTTCATAAACAAGTCACATATTCCACAGCTCAAGTGGTGATTAGTGAACCAACACCAATTCATAAAACATCGAAAGCATAAAACAAAGCTACAAACATAAAGATCATCGTAACACAGCACAATTTGTATCCGAAAATGGCCGAAGATGTCATCAACAATAGAATGAGTAGAGCAGCAAGGACAAAAATCAGAAAACTCCGATGGCCATAATTCAAAGTTAAATCAAGAAACAAGGGATAAGCATCCTAGTCACAAAAGCAGTTAGTAATGGAAACAAACATAAGAACAAAGGTAAAGAGTACTATCAATTCAAGAAATGGCAAGAGCGACTAAGAAAACACAAGGTTAAAAATGAAGAATAGAAAAGGGCTAAGTAGGTATGTATGTATGTCTGTATGTATGTTGTTCTACATTCATTCATTAATTAACAAAATACATATAACATCGCTCCAAAGACCCAATCTTTACCATGGGGATCGCCTCAATCCTCGCCGGTTGGGAACAATGTCAGAACCTTCCGGGCATTGGTCCCCGACTCCACGTCGTCGGTCGGCCCAATTGGGATCCTCTGGGATTGCCTCATAAATGGATGGTCGAATTGCCCGTTGAATTGCCGGAATTGCTGTTGCAGCTGGGGATGATGGTGGTGGGGCGCCGGCGGAGGCGGGGGGGCTCCTAGAACTGCCATCTGCTGGTGGTGGTGGGGCATTGCGGCGGCGGCGGCCACAGGGACGAAGAAATGGTCGGAATTGGCCCGGGCGGGATGGAGGAAGTGGGCGGGGACAGGGCCGCTGGCGAAGAGGTGGTCGGTAGCGGGGTCCGGCATGGCGGCGGCGGCGGCGGCGGCTGCTCCGCCGCCGTTGGAGATCCCCTGCATCCGCTTGAGGTAGAGGCGGTATTTCTGCAAATGGCTGGCGACGTTCTCGCGAGTCAAGCCGTCGACGCTCATGAGCTGCATAATGGTTTTGGGGACGGCGTTTTTTATGCCCAAATGGGCGACGGCGTCAACGAACCGTTTGTGGAGCTGCGGGGTCCACACGAGCCGGGGGCGTTTCAGGGTGCGAGCCGGCTCGTCGGAGCCGGGGCCGGTGGCGCCGCCGGCTGCACCGCTGAGTTCGGGGGAGTCGAATTCGGCGGAGGAATTGGGTTGGGAGGAGTGGCCGGTGGACTGGTGGTGCGGCAGAGGATGATGATGGTGCGGCGGTAGCGGAGGAGGCGGCGTCGTGTGGCTCGGCGGCGGAATGTTGAAAGCCATGGCTAGATCGGGGGTAATTAACGACTGGGTTAACGGCATCAGTTCCTCCGGCGATGGCAGTTCCTCTTCCCATTTGGAGAACCAATTGGAATCTTCTTCCCTCATCTTCTTCGCAAAATTAGGGATTCTTCTGCAAAATTGGGTATCCCAAAAACTCTGCCCAAATTTCGGCAATTGGAAGATCACAAACACCAAATCGAACTAAGAAACAGCAACCGCGACACAAAATTGATGAACTGAGGAGCAATTAGGGCAGATGCGAGTGCGAAATCTAGGGATTTGAAAACTAGGGATTATTAACTTCAAGCAATCAAATCCGCCATGAGAATCAAGAACACCATCGAGAATGGGTTTCTGAGAGAGACAAAGGAGGGGGTGGGGTTGGGGGTGGGGGGTGGTTGATCGAGGTGGATCTTGTTTTCTTCTTTTCAGCTTTTATGAAGGTTACTGTTTGCTGATGCTTTTTTCATTTATTTATGATTTTATCTGTGTGTTTGTTTCCAATTATATTTTCCGGGATATATGGGAGTGCCTATTTTTTAATTTGATTTAATTTTTTAAATTTAATTATTTAATCTATTTTTTTAAATCTTGATGAGTGAATTTCAAAATTGGGATTTTTATTTTTATTTTTATTTTTGACCAATTATTTATCGGAAAGATATTTATGATTATTCTCAACTATGAAGAGCAAATCTTGATGTGTTCTGGCGCGTGGGAGTCACGCTTGGCCCTTATTGGCTGAACACAAATCAAGCCAGGTGATATTAATGTAGGAATTAAAGATGTCATAGAAGATATGGAGATGAGCCAATCAGATTATTCTTTCAAATTTAATTATTTTTGGAGAATTTAGTTCAATTACAAATTGTGTTGCAAATTCATCCCTGGAAAGTCTGTAAAGAAAAGGAAAAAAAGCGATTTTTTTCGTACTTGTAAAGAAAAAAAAGTAGTATAAGAAAATTCAAAATTGAATAGCTTTTTAGCGAGTCCCGGGAGCTCCAGAGACGATCTGAACCGTTCGTGTTACTATCCGACGTTCAGGAACCAAGAATCGTTCCGGGTGCTGAAATCCTGGGACTGTGATGATTAAAAGTTAGGTCCCCTTGCAGGGAATTTCATTTTTAGAATTATTATTATTTGATGAATTTTTGGAAAAGATTTCTTTTTAAGATGTTGTTGACTAATGATAATATATGTCACAAAATGGATTTGTCATTTTTAAAAAATGTTTTAAAATAAAAATATATATATATATATACTGCAATTTTCATGGTTTATTTTTTTATCTTATCTACAACATAAGTTTCAAAAGGGCAATCATTTTTTAATTAAGATTACAAAAATAAGTAGCCCCACTTCACATGTATTTCATTTTCTTCTTCTTATTATTCCAAAGTTATCGTTGACAGATATTTAATTAAATACATTTTATTTTAGACAATAGGTAAATTGGGTTTTATATCGTTTCGCAATGGGATACTGTTTTAAAATAATTTTATAAATAAAAAATAAAATAAATATTATCTACATGTCGGTCATATCATATAAGTATTTCTGACGTTAGAGAACTAAATGTACATAATTTTAGTTGCGAGACTATTTTAATACAAAATTCAGTTATTAGACTAAAATGATAAAAATATTCAATAACGAGATTTGAAAATATAATTTACCTAAACTTATAAGTTTTAAACTGTATACTTTTGCATTTTTATTTTTAAAATAAAAATAATAATACTTATAAGTACTTATTGGCTTTGTTTTTTTACCAAAAATTTCTCAATATATTTTTTTCAAAAATATTAATATACGACATATTTATTATTTTTATATTATCTACATAATTCACTATATCTCATATAAAAAAATTTCTATCGAAACGAGACACAAAAGAAATAAATAATTTTTTTATTTACTTAGCATTCAACTCTTATTTTCATTTAAAATTTATTAGCTCCAAACAACATACTAACAAGATAATCAAAATCTAAACCATACCAAATGTTTAAATATAATTTTGGGAAGTTTTAAAAAAATTTTAAAAAATAATAATAATAATAATAATTGAAAGTTAAATTTGATATAATATTTTGTAATAAAATATGTGCTTGATGTAGTTTTTTTTTTTTTTTTTTTTTTTTTTTTAAATATCATAGATGAGTAGTGCAAATACTATGGAGTATATATATGTTTAATAGTTATAAATAAGAATGGTGTACGATGGCTACATAAAATTTCAATTTTGTCCTATTCTTTTTCTCCAAATATCGTTCCAATCGTTTTTTGAAAAAACCCTTACTTCTGCCCAAGCGCACGACGGTTGGCTCCATCCTCCATCACCGCCCAACTCCGCCTCACCACCACGAGGATTGTTTCTGGTCTTTTCTTCTCACGCGTGACTCGGTTAGGTAACTTTTTCTATTTTGCAATTTTTCACTTGGCTGATACGTCAGTGCTCTAATGTTTTTTGTTGTCTTTTTGTGGTGTTTCGTTAGAGATATTGGGGGATGCCCGCGCCTTCGAAACTCTGGTTGACGATGATGATATGGCGATCGATGAAGACCTTGGACCACCACCGCCCGGTTTCTGTCTTCCTTTCTCGCGTGCGTCGGTTTCTTTGTAATTATAAATAACACATAATTTTATTTATTTTTTCTTTCTTTCTAAATAATTTTGGTTGGACGGGATGTGGATGTGGTTAGGGTGTTTTTCGGGGTTTGAGATTTGTATTGCAAGGAATCATTGCAAAACCTCCCTTTGTTCCTCGCCCCCGGAAATTCTTCCATTTGAAAGTTCAAATTATGGATACATTTTGGTGAAAAATGCAGGTTTCTCAAGCTCCATTTAAATCAGAGCTATGCTGCCTATGTTGAAATTTCAAAGCAAGCTTTTGGTACTGGTCTTTCCCCTTAAGTTAATTTTGCTACTGATCTTTTGGATATGTTTTCAGTGGATGGTCCTGATGAAAATACCAATAGAGGAGCATCTGAGGCTGGCGACTCATGGCCAGAATTCAAGGGTATGTTTCTAAATTGGGTTAATATCATTTTTCTGTGAGTTACGTCTTGTAAGTCATTTGGGTTTATATAATGTTGCCGGTATGTGTAACACCCCCAGTTGGCTCATACTGGAAATGCTACCGCCACACTGCATCATGAGGTCGTCACCTCCTACTTCGGGCCCCACAATACAGTGTTAAGGCTAAATTAACCATAAAAGCGCATTATTATATATACCAAAATCCGATTTATAAATATTTACAAAACACACCCCTTAACAAGAGGTTTTTCCGGTTAAAAATTTACATATAATACAATATACGTAAGTTCACTCACTCATCCCATCTTTCTATGTCTCGAGACGTTCCCTGTCTCGGATGTGCCATGCATACCTGAAACAAATATTTTCTTAAAAGCAGTCCAGAATTAAATCCATTTTAAGAACTAACGTGAAATATGTCATTTCACACCTTTTTAAAATAAAGTCTAATTCCCGTTAATCATAAAATATGTGTCATGTCATGCCAATAGTGAAATGATGCAATACCAATATCAAACTCGACAACAATGCACACTCACATATATATATATATATCCGCCAAAGTGAGCATCCGGAATAACCTCGGCTCCATAATCATAGGCTCACTACATCTGTCTAAGTGAGCAGCCGGAATACCCTCGGCCCCGTAATAACAAGCTCACTAGACCATCATTAATAAATAGCCAGAAAACCATTGGCTCAAGGAAGGACCTGATAAACCCATAATAATATAACGGTCATCCGGTCACTTCCATATACCCACCATACCACTTCCACAATCAATACATGGATAGCCGAACGTTGTCGCCATTAACCACAAGACGCCCCATAGTCTGTGATAGGGAAGATAGGACCCCCACTGACTAGCCCTATCCCGTGTAATGTAGTAGAATCCGTGCAACCTGGAATCACCCAAGGGAAACCCGGAAACTCTACTCCTCCTCGCGCGCCCTAACGGGATCACGTTTGGAGTTTGGCATATGATCTTAAACTACCGGTAGACCTCACTAGTGATCAGTCCAATGAGTGGAACAACACCGAACACGAATGATTAGACCAAATACGTCTCAACTACAATGGGTCTAATCCCTGAATGACCGTGCGACTAAGTCACCCAGTTGTCCGACTACTATTGTCCACTATCGCCAAAGTGTTACGGTACATCGGGGTCGAATATCCTAACCCCAGATGATGCCCTCGCCTAGCACTACCGCACATAGCGACTAAACGATAGATCCATAAAACACATCCGATAAACCGTGCAATATGTGTGCAACATGCCAAATAAGTGAATTTACCGAAAAGGACTGGTGAGACAGCTCACCTATCCTCCTTTTCATAAATTCACCAACGCGATCAAATACGTATATCAAATATCATAAACCGTGAAGTCTCCCACATGCATACGCACACACATATATATATATAAATATATACATGCAACAAAATGATTCACATAATATCACGTTAACATATTAATCAAAATCGTATGCAACATGCATACCTAATTTCTTAAAATTAGATTTAATTCCCTACTGCTTACCTCTTATCGACACTCCCTAGCTCCCGCAATTTCACCCAAATCTCTTCCAACGTACACCTGCCCCATTATTTACTCAAATCAGCCTAGCTATATACTTATACATAGGAGCTACCGCTTATTCAAAAGCTAATTTCTATAGTTAGCTCGTTGGGTTTCAAACTTTTATATTTAGTAGACTACGATATTCTAGCTATAAAACTCTTATACCTCATAATATTTATATCGCCCGATTATTAAATAAAAATACTTAAAAATATGAATAAACAGGCAGGTGCACTACACTGCCGTTTTCAATTCGGCTCGGATCGATACGAAATTCTCATAATATAATACTAGGACTACGAATAGGCTATTAGCTAAAGAAATTCGTCGATTAAATAGCCAAATAGCCGGTTATGAATTTTTGAAGAATTTCTAATTTAATATTCCCAATATCGAAATTTATATTAAAATCCATAATTAAATTCTACGTATAACAAGGAATACAATACCGAAGTCGGAATCGAAATAGAACGGCTAAATTTTTTTCTTTCTTGTTTTCTTCCTTCTCCTTTCTTTTCTTTCTCCCTGGCGTTCCTTGCTTCTGGGTTGCTTTGGTTGTAAGGTAAGGGTTTATATATATAATTATATTATTATTATTATTATATTATATTATTATTATTATTACTATTAACGTCGTTATTATTATTATTATTATTATTATTATTATTATTATTATTATAAATATTATCCTTATCATCATCACCACTAACATTATTATTATATATATTATATTTTATGATCATCTTTATCGATATTTATCCGTTTAGCAGTCTTTTCAATCATAATCAATATATAAAATA